TAAAAAAATATATTTAATACAATTTTAACTTTTATATCCTTAATACATAGGGCTTTCTTCAATTACATCTAGCTAATCTTTAAATAATTGATTCAGATTTTAGATGCTATCATACCAACACTATCTTGATTACATCTAGCTCTCCTAGGTTTGGGAGCTTTTTTCTCCTCAAGTTGGGAGTGCAGCAAAAACGGCGTGAATAGGGATTCCACGATGGCTGAATCCAATGTGCGGGATCTAACGATAGCGATGGGTAAACAACTATCTTTGACAGCAGATGAAGATGTTGGCCTTGATTTAGATGATGGAATAGGTAATGGTCCTGATGGCGGAGTCTCCAAGTGGTGCATAGTCGGAACGGTTCTGACTAGGAAGCGGTTTAACATGGAAGCGATGGAATCTACATTAGCTGGGGTATGGAGACCAGTAAAAGGTATGCACATGAGAATCCTGGAGCATTCAATGTATTAGTGTTGGTATGATAGCATCTAAAATCTGAATCAATTATTTAAAGATTAGCTAGATGTGATTGAGGAAAGCCCTATGTATTAAGGATATAAAAGTTAAAATTGTATTAAATATATATTTTTATTATAAATTTATATTAAAAATAAAAATTAATATTTAATTTATTAATTATTTAATTAAATTTATTTAATATTAAAATTAATATCAATTTTTATATATTTTTTACATATTTATGATAAAAAGATATATTTAATATATTTTTAATTTATATTTTAAAGGTACAAGATGAAAAAATTCTTAAAAAAATGCAAAATTTTTATAGAAAAAGAGGAAGGCAAGGGAGAAATACAACAATAAAGATTAATTAACTGAATCGAAGCCTAATTTCATCCTTTTGCCCTGTTATTAAAAGTTGTCTTGCCGCTATGTGTTCAACAATTGTCAAAATAAAACAATGTTGACACCCTAAAGCTGAAAGCCAATTGATGGGATGCACTGCATTAGTGATGGTATAATCACACCCAAAAATTGAACCAATGCAAAAATTTATGGAAAGGGGAAAGGCAAAGCACAAATACATTAATAAAAATTTAAGGGTTTTTTAAATTTGTATATTAAAAGTATAGATTAAAAAAAATTTTAAAAATAAAAAATAATGTTTAATTTATTAATTATTTGATTAAATTTATTTATATGACAATAATATTAAAATTAATATTTATTTTTTTATTTTTTAATATAAATTTAATATAAAAATACTCTTAATTTATATTTCAAGAGCAGAAATTAAAAAAATATTTAAAATTTAATTAAATGAGTCAAAAATTAATTCCAAGCAATGGGCGTTTTGAAACTTGTTTGTTCGCAATGTTTTCAACAGTTGTCATAATAATAAAGAAAAAACATTGGCTTGTGTGAACCACGCATTAGGCTAAAAGTCACTTGAAGGGATTTTTTTAAAAATTAATATTATATTAATAATAAAAATGATTAAATTTAAAATTTAAATTGCACATTACTAAAATGTGATTAGTTTACTTTTACAAAGAAATGTGACTACTTAAGCCATTTAATTAATTGACCACTTGATGGGATCTAATGTATTAGTGTTTGTATAATCATATCCAAAAGTTGAACTGGTTCTCGAGAGGCTATGTTGTACTTGGAGAAATGTAAAAGTTTATGGAAAAAGGTGAAAGCAAGGAAAAATACGTTAATAAAAATTAATTAAATGAGTTAAAGACCAATTTAAAGTATTGAGCCTATTAAAAGTTATCTGCTATAGCGTATTCAACAATTGTCAAAATCAAATAACGTTAACACGAGAAACCCACGTTGAGCCTATTGAAAGTCAACCACTATGGGTATATTCTAACTGTTGTCAAAATCAAACAATGTTAACACGAGAGACCTGTGTTGAGCCTATTGAAAGTCAACAGCTATGGGTGTATTCAACTGTTGTCAAAATCAAACAACGTTAACACGAAAGAACCGTGTTGAGCTTATTGAAAGTCAATCGCTATGGGTGTATTCAAATATTGTCAAAATCAAACAATGTTAACATGAGAGACTCGCGTTGAGCCTATTGAAAGTCAACTGCTATGGGTGTATGTTAACACGAGAGACTCGGGTTGAGCCTATTGAAAGTCAACTACTATGGGTGTATTCAATTGTTGTCAAAATCAAACAACGTTAACACGAGAGACCCGCGTTGAGCCTATTGAAAGTCAACTGCTATGGGTGTATTCAACTGTTGTCAAAATCAAACAACGTTAACACAAGAGACCCGCGTTGAGCCTATTGAAAGTTAATCGCTATGATTGTATTCAACTGTTGTCAAAATCAAACAACGTTAACACGAGAGACCTGCGCACCTAGACAAAGCCACGTGATGGGACTCGGTTGAGACCTTTAAAGTTTAAAGGACTTCAAAGCTACCTATTTATGGGGATTGCACCACTCAACTAATTTTAGTTGGAGCACTTGCACCATTAACCGCCCCGATGAAAGTACACCACTAACTCTAACCTTGTTAAGGGTTTAAGTTGTAATTGTAGGATTATTATAATTATTTTTTAATTTTACAATTTTGCATCGTTCAAAAAAATGAAACTAATTTTAGTTGGAATAGTTGTTGCCATGTAAAAACATATTAAAATTATTAATAATTTAAGTAATTTAATAATAATGTTTTTATTAATAGTTAAAAACCTTAAATTTAAATTATTTAATATGTAAATGAGATGTGATGAAAAATGAGAGAGAATTATTTTTCATTATATAATTTAAAATAAAAAATAATAAATTATATAAGAATGAGAACCAAAGGAAGACTCTCAAAAACGAGGGATACCCAAAATCTCTGTAATTGGACTCATGGATTAAGTGCCGATATTTTAGTCTAATCCATTAAAATGAAGGATGTAAGCTCGGTCCGTGAGTTGTTTCGATCTATTATAAAAGGAAATGTAATGAGCTTTCATATAGATAGTTGAGAAATTAAGCACATATGAAGACATAATGATTAGTTTTCAATAATATTTTATAAATATGTAAATTTTTTTTACAATTAAATTTTAATTTACAAAATCTCCTTTAATATTTTGATCTTTATCACATTTTTAAAAGCAAATAATATTCACAATATGAGTTAAAAGCTAGCATGGCATATATTTTGATCGATGTTTAGTTGGTCAAATCATGTAAATGTTGCCCTTGTTCACTTGTCACAGAGTAGGCATGGAAGTCCCAACACTTCCAAACCAAAACATTCTGTAATTTGACTCATGGGTTAAGAATTTGTTTATCGAATTTTTCACAGATTTTTTTTTATACAGCACCTCATTTAAAATATAAGTTTTTAATTTTTAATTAATCTTAATTAATTTTTATATATTTTTATTAGTTTTAATTGATATTTTATAAATTTTTAAGTAATAAAAAGATTAAAAAAAAAAAAAAACCTACTACTATAGCACAAGTGCACAACACAACATCACCAAACCGATTCTAATAGCACGTTTGAGTGGAGTGCAGGGAGGGGAGGGGAATTTTATCCTTCCATTCCCCTCCCTTCCCTTTATTTAGATAAATTAACAAATTACGATTAAAAGTAAATAAAAGAAAATTTCCCCCTCCTCTTCTCATTTTTTTAATAACTGAATAAGGAAAAATTTTACTTTGCCCTCCCCTCTATTCATCTCAACTCAATAATGCAGTAAGTGTCTATATTAGTCTAGTCCATTAAAATGATCGAGGTAACCTTGCACCGTGAGCTGTTTCTGTCCATTAAAAGCCTCTATTTAGTCCAGTCCATTGGAGCATAATGTTAGATCGATCCAAACCCATTTGCCAAAGAGAATGAACCCAGTAAAAAAAGCCCAACCAAAGCCTCCAAAGAACCGAAGAACTCAATTAGCAGCTGCAACTTGCCGTAAACAAAGCAGTATTCTTAGAAAAACAAATAGAGAAAGGTTCTCTCAAATTTTAACCACAGCCGTCGGAGACCGGAGCATTACCGTCGCCGCCGTCAATTGCAGTGAGTATTTCTGCCAGCATAGAAGTAGGCTTTCGCCTAGCTTTCCATTCCTCAGGCGGTCAGAGAACCCTTCGCCAATTTTGACAGGATTCGAGATGAGGAGGACGGGTTTTTCATCTGCAGGGATTTGTATTGCTAATTAGATGGGAAATATATTCGTGAAGAAACCCAAAATTACCGATGTAGATCGAGCAATTCTCTCTCTCAAAACTCAAAGGCGGAAGCTTGGGCAATATCAGCAGCAGGTCTTTCCTTCAAATTTCCAATTTTCTTTTAATGCGGAATGCATAATTTTTGCTTTAATTTCATTGTTTTTGGTTGCATGCGGTGAGAAATTAAAAAAGACAAAAAACTGAATTTGCTTTAATGGATCTGTTCAAATTCGTATGAATAAGTAATTTTCATTTTTTATATAAATTCTGTTTGTCTTCTGCTCTTTTCAGCTTGAAACTGTGATTGAAGCAGAAAAGCAAGCGGCGAGGGACTTGATTCGTGACAGAAAGGATAGAGCCTTGTTAGCATTGAAGAAGAAAGTTGACACATCGCTCATCAACGTCGAGCAACAAGTAAATTATTGTACCCATATGTGCAAATGTGTATTATTTAGATTGTTTCAATCTTTTTTTTCGTGATGGTTTTGTGACAACAGCTGTATGGTGTACTCGATATCCCCCGGCATTGGTTCAACTTTATCCTCTCTTTCTTATTCTATTGGTGGCACGAATGTTTGTTGCAATTCATCTTTTAATTTGGTTTCAATTTGGGTTTGGAAAGAGATATGGATTGAATCCCAGTGGATCAGTGGTCACTTCTGAGAACAACAAATTAAGTGAAATGATAACGAAATGCAGAGTAGAAGAAGAGCTCTATCTCAGGAGGAGCATAAAAAGCAATTTGAGAACTCTTCTTTCTCTTATAACAAAACTTGGGCTCCATTGGTGCTAGTGGGCATGACAACATCTCTGGTATCCTAAACTTTTGACCTTTTGGTGTCGAACAGCCGCCAGCCACCGAACTATCTTCACCTCCGTTGTTTTGCTTGAGTTTGTTGCCGCCATTGCCACGTCCAGGCAACCCCATTGATGATTCCTCCTCTGTTTTTGGGGCCTTGAAGTTTTCGAAGAGTGAAAAAATGTTTACACTTTTTTCCTCTGAATGTTGATAGAGGGAAGCCAAATATGGCAGTATCAAAACCTGGGACCTGGTTAGGATTTTGTTCAAAGATGGCAACTTGAAAGACCCTTCTGCTGTACTTCACCAAAAACCCCACAGCAGGATTAACTACTACCAATTATAAATAATTTTACCCTTTTTATATACTCTGTAACCCTACCAAATCTTTGATAAGATTAAAGTAGAAATTTCTTGGAAAAGCAGCTCCGTTTATTTGTAAGAATTTGCAAGAACAAAATTAAAAAAAGAAAATGCACACCTTACATTACTAGATGCGGCTCTCTAATATTAAGGATTGTTTTTATTTAATAATTTTTTATTTTGAAATTTAGGCAATTCAATCTGCAATAGAGGGTATTCATTTGAAAATTTTTATGAGAATTTGGTTCAGTTTAATTGATTAAAACTAATTCAATTTCAATCATTTTTAAGTAGGGATGGCAAAAATTAACAACCCACATATTTAAAATAAATCAAGGTAATCATTTTCATCTTGTAATGTATTTTAACTTGAATCACTTGGCATATGAGTTAAATAAGTTGAGTGTCAACTTAGGTTTTATTTAGGAAAATTTTAAGTGGTTTAGCTTTTATTTTATTTTTTTAATCTTTTTACTATTTTAAAAATATGTAATATATTAATTAAAATAAATATTAATATATTTTATATATTTTTAAAATAAAGAGGAGAAACCTACAACTACATCCCAACTTTCTTAAATGAAACTTCAATTTAGCTTATCCATTTCAAAAACAAATACTTATGAATCCATTTAACCCAGCTTATTTGAGCTCATATATAACTTTTTTTTTTTTTTGAACAACTACAATTTTTGAAAAATGAGAAAGAAAATGGGGCTAAGATCCCTCAAAAACTTAGCCAAATGAGTGACAAGCAATACCTATTCCACCCATCCCGTAGGCCAACTTCTCATATGCAACACCTTTGAACTAGAGCAATTGAGGAGGAATGGGGAGGGGATTGCAAATGTGACCCGTGGGGACCCACACCTAGTGCTAATTTATGGAGTAAAGTGGCTTTTGCCACTTGCTTCCCCATGTGGCTGGCTAGCTCATATGTAACTTGCAAAAGACACGGTCTAACCCCAACCAAACCGAACTCTTGTTTTTCATGTTGATCACGTAACAATCCAATTTCCTTTTTGTCTTTGACTTTCTTAGATTATAATTTTCAAACTCTAATCCCACATTTTGCTCCACAGCCATTTGAAACCGTAATATTAACATTGCTGTCGAATTAAGCAGTGAATATTCCCCCTTGCAATACAAGTAGTCGTTTTGCTTTCTATCATTCCTGTGCAAACGGTGATATCCATCTGAGAATATAACACTAACATCACCATCGAAGTAGTGAATATTTCCCCCATGGCATACAAGTATCTATTTTTCCCAGGCAAATAGGGAACACATCACTACTTTTGACCTCTTAATGGGTTCGTGATCAAGGAGAATGGGTTTTTTATTGGTTAGGATTTATATTGCTAACTAGACAAGAAATATACTCATGAAGAAACTCAAAATTATCGATGTAAATTTAGTAAATCTCTTCCTCAAAACTCAAAATATAATGTGTCTCCATGAGTATACTTTGAAGATTAACCACATATGAGGATATAATGATTAGTTTCTAATAATATCTTATAATTATATAAAATTTTCTTTGCTATCAATTTTTAATTTATGAAATCTCCTTTTCTATTTTTGATCTTTATCACAATTTTTAAATCAAATAATGCTCACAAATATGAGTTTAAAGCTAGCATGTCATATAATTTTGATTGATTTTTAATTGGCCAAATGATGTAAATGTTAGCCATGTTCACTTGTGACAGAGTAGGCATGGCAATTTAAACACTTCAAAACCGAAACATTTTGTAATTGGACTGATGGATTAAGCGCCGATAATTTAGCCTAGTCCATTAAAATGATGAATGTAAGCTCGGCCCATGCGCTGATTCGGTCCATTAGAAGCCTATATTTTGTCCAGTCCATTAGGGTGTAGTGTTTTCCTGTTTTCGCTTTGCTTTCGGCTTGTTCGAGACGGGGAGGATAGAATCACGGTTAATAAACCAGACTACAGAACAAAACAAGAAAAACTACTTCATGTCTCATGACATGACTATTCTTCTTTCAAGCTTTTTAATTGGGTTTAATGCTCTACTAAAATCACAGATTTTGGTGCAAATATGTTGAAGTATGTTTTAATTTGAATGAATTAGTCTTTCGTATTCGAAAGAATTTACCAATTATAATTTTGTTTGTGCAAGGTCTGTGGGCATTGTGTTACAGA